CGGCATGCCGAGCTGAGAGTCATCTGAGACCAATACAGAACCTTAACAGCTTCTGGCACTAAGACCGGCACTGTCACCAGCCAGTGACATTAGCCCTTCCCAGCCTCCTGTGATTGGTTGGTCACTAAAGTGCGCTCACTTCATAGGTGGGGACCTGGGTAAGATAACTGAGGGTCCTGCCTACATGATTGCAGTCAGTTAACGGCAAAGATATTCTACCCAGGGAGATGACTCCAGACTCCAGAGTTCACACTCTCTAGAACTGCTCCTCCCTGAGGTGTCGAGGGGTCTACTATGACCACTAAAGACTTGGCGCCTTCTAATTAGCCCATCTGTGAGCACCTCAGGACTGTCATGAGGGTTTAGCACATAGATGGTTAGCTCTGAACAGCAACCAGCCAATGGTTTCTTTCTGCTAAGAAGCCAGGTTCCAAGTTATAAAGCGTAAAGGTTGTACTTTTAGTTTATGGTAGAGTGAGACGTTCTCAGGTTGTCTCAGGTTGGGGTTGTGAGGACCTGTGCCCATCCCCTGTCCTGGTGCTGAGGACCTGTGCCCATTCCCTGTCCTGGTTCTGAGGACCTGTGCCCATCCCCTGTCCTGGTTCTGAGGACCTGTGCCCATCCCCTGTCCTGGTTCTGAGGACCTGTGCCCATCCCCTGTCCTGGTTCTGAGGACCTGTGCCCATCCCCTGTCCTGGTGCTGATGGGGCATCTTTGCCTGTCCCCTGTCCTGGTTCTGGGGACATGTGCCTGTTCCCTGTCCTGGTTCTGAGGACCTGTGTCTACCCCCTGTCCTGGTTCTGAGGTCCTGTGTCTGTCCCCTGTCCTGATTCTGATGGGCCATCTGTGCGGACTTCCGTGTTAGACCAACAGCCGTTGCTACTTCTTAAAGTCTCTTCTGCTATGACAGGTTCCAAGATTAATTCCCAGTGATTGTATATAGACAGCTGATGGAGCACTGAAGAGACATACAGTCGTCTGTCTTCCTTATTCACAGTGAGGGCCTGGATTATATCATTCCCTGATGTTCACATCGAAGGCTATTTACCAAATGAAAAGATGTATACAATCCCCAAAACTCATTTATTTCTGCATGACATTAAACTCACTTATGTTGTAGCTAATTTTAGAGTAAGCACAACATAAAATGAGTAAAAATATAAATAAAATCATATGCTCTAATGTATTGGCATTAGAGCTTTTTAAATGAAAAAGATGACAGAAATCTTCAACCAGATTGCAGGCCACCAGTTTGTAAGAGACTCCTAGGTTGTGACCCAGTGCAGCTGCCTTTACCTGCCTCCCCAATATGCAATCACAGTGGGCTATGGGGCATGCCAAACTATGCCAAACACTGACAATCCCAGCGATGTTGCCCTTCCTACCCGAGCCTGGGTTATCTCTAGGGCCAACAGCCAGGAGGAGTTCACGAGTTTTGGGAGGAAGCGATGGGAGCATTTGCTTGAGTTTTCTGGTGAATGATGTGGGTGAAGCATCATGCTGTGCTCTTTGGCCACAGAAGAGCTCGCTCTCCCGAAGCTCACATGCAGCACGGTCCTGTCCTGTCCAGGGTGGCGGCTGTCCTCTGACACCTAGGAGGAGGCAGTGGGCTGCGCAGCAGTCGGTGTTGGTAAACACTGTTGGAAGCTCCCCTTCAGCCTTGCTTTCACCTGTCTGCCCTTCCCGCTGCCCATGGGTGTGTGGTTTGTCCGCACTGCCTGGGCTGTGTGTTGGCTTTTTACATTATTCACACATTTCCTTGACAAAAAAAAGACATGTTTCAAATTTGCTGTCCTCTCCTGACAAATGAGCCAATATTTTGACATTTAAAAGATAATATTTAAAGGAATAAGCAATATTTCAGAAGTTTCTGGCACCATTAATACCAATGAGAAAATATGTAGTTGTTCCAAAAAAGGCAGAACACTCCCCCTCTCCCCTGCTCTCTCTCTCCCACTTTCTTCTCTCCTCTCTGTCTCTATCTGTCTCTGTCTGTCTGTCTGTCTCTCTCTCTCTCTCTCTTTTCTCATTCTGTAATGCAGCATGGGCAGGTACTTTCCAGGCTCAATCCATTTAGTGTTTGGTAAACCTCATATATCTGGATGGATATCTTGTTATCTAGATTTGGAGATTTTTTCTTTTATGATTTTATTGAAAATATTTTCTGTGCCTTTGACATGAAGTTCTCCATCCATAACCATGATTCCTAGGTTTGATCTGATCATGGTGTCCCAAGTGTCTCATGTGTTCTGTTACATGTTCTTTGTTTTCACCTTACCGTTCTCCTTGACTGAATAACCCCACCCCTCCCCCCTGTCTCTAGGATTCCCAGTCTGTGCTGTAAACAAGCTGTGCTCTCAGCGAGGCCCACACTGAGCTGCTCATTTGGCTTGTTGAATGTCTCATTTCCAGCTCTATTTCACTTTTATTTTTCTGCAGTATTTCTCTCCCTTTATTGAATTCTAATTTTGCATCTTGAATTGACTTACTTTTTTTCTTAGGCTGCTTGTTTGTGTTCTACTAGAATTCATTCAGAGATTTATTCCTGTCTTCTTTAGATTCATTTAGACATTTTTGTTCTCGTTAAATTCGTGGACATATTTATGATTGTTCTATTTGTTTTTGGATTCTTGGTGATTTATTCCAAGTGGTTTTCATTAGGGACCATTACAATGGGATTGGTAGTTTTGGGGGCAGACATTGTCCCTGGTTTTTGCTGTCACATTTTGTGTTGTGTTTTGTGCATCTAGAACCTGGTCAATCACATCTGTGGCATGAATTGCTCGCCCAGTTGCATCGACTGGCCATTTGGGTCTGACTTTGGTGTCACCATGTCACAGTAGGAACCTAAGGATATGTAAGGTCCTGGAGTTGTGTTTTTGTGGACTTGGTCAGGTGCTGCTGATGCCAGTCTGAGCCTGGGGAGAGGGTCCTGGGGCCAAGTGTCTCTGATCTAACCCAGGTCTCAGCCAAGCTCGAGATGGGATAGGAGGAGGTCTGTCTGTGGTCAGGTGTCTGTGACCTCACACAGATGCTGCTCTCAGTGGTAGCCTAGGCCTGGGATGACACTGCTTCGTGTAAATTTTATGGGACATAATGACAGAAGTACATTCACAATCATTTCAGAAATTGATAAGAATTCTGTACCAACCACAAGCCAAAAGTAATTGAATAATTTTTTTTAAATGAAACTTATCAGCCACTCACACAATGGCGGTCTTCACACAACACAATCTACAATATGCTAATGTGGTAGTGACATACCACAATGCTTCAAACATTGTCTTTTCTTCCCACCATTAATCTGTCGTGTTTCTATGAGAACAGATGTGCCATCACACACAGAGCCACGTAGGTACTTGGTGTGTTGGGAGCCAAGACTCCAGTGAGGGTGTGTGATGCTTCCCAGAGAAACTCATTAACAAACACCTCGGATTCAGAGGCATTCGAATCATAATGGAATTTTCCGCTGCTGTGTGTTATAACAGCATATTGTGTGTTACAGCTTCACTCAGTTACTTGACCCCATATGGGGTCACATCCCACAGTCTCCAGAGCTGTGTGGTCCAGCAGAGATTACTAAGAACTGTGCCAAGTAGTTTTAAATCATGATATAAAAGACATACTGATCCTTGATGCCTCTCATCACCATACATATCATTACCTAGATGTAGTAAGGAGGCCGCTTGTTCATTTCCTGGCTGCCCAGACCCCCAGAATAACCACACAGAAACTGTATTAATTAAAGCACTGCTTGACCAATTATTTAAGCATATTGATAGCTACATCTTGAATTAACCCATCTCCATTATTTTATATTTTACCACGAGGCTCATGGCCTACCAGCAAGGTTTCAGCAACAGCTCCATGGCTTCTCTTCACTCCATCTCCTTTCTCCCAACATTCAGTTTAGTCTTCCCCACCTACCTAAGTTCTACCCTAGCAACAGGTCAAGGCTGTTTCTTTATTCACCAATGATATTCACAGCATACAGAGGGGAATCCCACATCACCTAGATGATGAACATAACCTCTAGTATAGAAAACAAGCTGTCCTATACTCGTGTTACACCCAAGTGTGAAGTATTGGAGAAGTATTGGAGAAGCATTAATCACACACATTAACTTTTGTGAAGGGTTCGCTTTTCCCCTATAGTGTCCACATACTCCCACAGAGTTACAAATTCACACATTTAAACATTGTCCTTTTTACTGGCTCCATTGCTTTTTAAATTTTATCTCACAATATTTTATATTGGTGTATAAATATTTATAAAACTATATTTGCACGCATATAAGTACACATGGTCTTACTAATGCAACAGGACAGGAAGCTGCTCTTGCTTTATTTTCAAGTCCCCTCCCCACCTCTCTCTCAAGATGAGTCACCGGCACAGGCTGGGGGCAAGCACTCAGCACCACCTATGTGCCAAGCCTTCAAGTGTCCATTAGCGTAGTCCCCTGTTCATGTGTCTGCTCCACCGGCATGATATTGTGCATCATAAAAACATGTTACAGGTTTGGATTCATTGCTCCAAAGCTGGCAAAACCCCAAATTCACTTAAGAAAAGAAAAAAACATGCAATTAAATCAGGGAAAGAAATACAATCCTCTCAAGGAAGCTAGTTTGGGTATTCTGGGTGACATGTAATTTCAACGTGTTTGTTTTAACAGGTATAAAAGGGTCATAGATCTTAGTCAACATGTTTGTTTTAACAGGTATAGAAGGGGCATAGATCTTAGTCATTGGTTTACTGATAATACACGCACATTTGATTTTTAACTCTTTTATTACTAACATAAACATGTAGTAGAGGACATTCTAGAAAAGATAAATGGTGATGTGTGGTGAGAAGATATTTGTTAAGGAAGATGTAACTCAGACAAGTGCTGTCCCTTCAAGGTTGTGTGTACACAGCTCCAGTGTGTCTCAACTGTGAGCCCCAGAGAATCTCCCGATGCCGAGACCCAGTCCCCCACTCACACCCCCTTGCCTTGCAGATGTACCACAGGATCCGCCACTCAGAGTGCATCTACAGGGTTACCATGGAGAAGCTGTCCTACCACAGCATCTGTACCTCAGAGGAGTGGCAAGGCCTCATGCAATTCAACCTGCCTCCACGCGTCTGCAGAGAGATCGAGCTGTGAGCTTTTCATGCTGTTTTCACTGAACTAACGCCAAGTCGATGGCGGAGTCAGAACCACGGTTACCGTGGGATTGTCCTGTGTGGTTTTACGCGGTGCTCCTTCTGCTTGCCTTAAGTAACAGCTCTGAAAGTGAAACCCTGTGTAGTGACCCAAGCCTGCAACACCAGTGCTTGGGAGGCTGAGGCAGCAGGTTCAGAGCTCCAGGCCAGCCAGGGGTGTACAGTGAGTCCTTGTCACAGAACTAAATTTGAAACCAGTAACCTAAATGCTGACATTTCTTATTACTCTGTCATACATTCCAAATGGCATATGAAGGAATTTAGTAATAATTTGTTTCATCTTTGCACATCTGTTCTCCAGTGTGTGGCTAACACACTTTAAGTCTAGAGAAGCAGGGCCTTGTGGTGCTTGTGTGCCTGTGGCAGCCACCCTGTCCCCAAACACCTTATTATTGGAAATATACGCCTTTGCCACACTGCTTACTCTGGTCGGGGGTTAGTGATTACATTAGCAAACAAGAACACAGTTATTGTGTGGTGACCAGTGGTTACGGGTATTGAATTAATGTTTCAGCTTAGATAGAAGGCTGCTACTGATAAGGTCCTCTGGATGATACACACACACACACACACACACACGCATACATATATATGGTGACAACTGTGTCCCCTGGATGGTGTGCTATATATATATTAGGGTCAGTTACCCTGGTGGCACCTGTGTCAGCTGTTTTAACAGAAGACTCTGTAGGGTCCTGCAGGAACCCGCCAGGTGTGTGTGGCAGGGACGGCAGAGGCGGGGGCAGATCATCATGTCCTTTGACTGTTGGGGCGGATGAGAGGGTATATTGATTTTTATGCCTGCCGTGCTCAATCCAATTACACCTAATGATCCGCTATTCTCCTCCCATTTCAGATTCCACTTTGACATCGGTCCTTTCGAGAGCATGTGGCCTGGGATCTTTGTCTACATGATCCACCAGTCTTGCGGGACATCCTGGTATGCGCGACCTATGTGATTCCTTTAGAATGTGGGGGTGACCTACTTAGCCCACCTGTACCTAACCAGGTTCTTTGTATAGTGATGGGAAACTATGACATTTTAATAGCCATTCAAATACAAATCGACTTTTCCAAATACTTCAGGGACTGTTGACTTCCTGGCCTCTTTGTCTGTAGGCATAGCAGACAGTTGTCTAGGCTTTGTCCTGGACACAGGTAACCTAGATGTAATGCTAGCATGTCTTATCACTCTGTCACACATCCCAAGTGGCATTTAGTGTCATTTAGACTGTGTAGTGGAAGAGGCAGGATCTACACTTAAAGTAGTGTGTTGGAATAGCACCTGCCTGTAGCATCCTCTCTGAGGTCCACATGTATCTGTTAGGTGAGGCACAAAGGAGACATCTCTCAGGGAATGGGACAGCAACCACAGGCTATTAACCCTCCCCATCTGCCCTGTCCAGCATAGTTCCGTGACCTCGTGTGTGATGGTTTACATCTTACTCACACAGGTCCAAAGCACAAGAATTGCATTCGCTTGTTTTCTGTATGTTGAGATTTGCACTAACCCGTGTGCAGAGACCTTTAGTTTCTCTGGAATGACACTGTCTGTCTTCTTCAGCTATGGGTCTTCTATTCTCTTATCAGAAGCAGCTTTGGGACTGGCAGCTGCAGTTGTTGCATAGACAGTTGAGGGTGTGGCTGGAAGTCATTAGAAGCTGGACCTTTCCATTCAGGGACGGTGAAAGATTTAATGAGGGGCACATAAGCTGTGCATACTCCAAGCTTTATGAACTCTTTGTCTTTTAATCTGCCTGAGATATATTTTGAGAGTTGTAGGGTCTCAATTAAGAAAAAATAATAATCCAGTAACAGGGTGTACAATAACATGAGTGTCCTCCTCCTTCATGTACTGTGTGAAGAGATTTGGGTGTGTCTATTTTCTGCTTGTAACATAAGCATACCTTAATGCCCTGCATTCGCCCTGAAAGCCTAGTCAGGTGCAGAGTTTTGTAATATGTGCTGGCATTTGTGGGTCTGAGTGTGCCTCTTAGAGGCCAGGAGGATGCTGTACGTGGCTGTCTGAGTCCTCTGCAGCACGGGCAATGCTTGTAAACACAAGGAGCTCATACAGGGTAAGCAGGGTAGACGGCAGGCTGACTGGCAGAATGGGCCTATCAGAGTTGGGCTTGGTTCTTCTGCTGCTTTTTGGCTATAGAAGGAGCAGGGAGTGGAAGAGACTACAGAGCTCATGGTGAGCCAGGAGGGAACCCATAGGTGTGAGAGGGGGTCCACAGGTGTGTGAGGGAGCTTACAGGTGTCTGGGGTGATCCACAGGTGTGTGAGGGGGCCCACAGGTGTGTGAGGGAGCTTACAGGTGTCTGGGGTGATCTACAGGTGTGTGAGGGAGCCCACAGGTGTGTGAGGGAGCCTACAGGTGTCTGGGGTGATCTACAGGTTTGTGAGGGAGCCCATAGGTGTGTGAGGGAGCCTACAGGTGTGTGAGGGAACCTACAGGTGTATGAGGGGGCCCATAGGTATATGAGGGGGCCTACAGGTGTGTGAGGGAATCTACAGAAGTGTGGGGAAGCCCATTGATGTGTGAAGGAGTTCAGAGGTATGTGGAGGATTCTAAAGTGTGTAAGAGGTGTGTGGAGGATTCTAAGGTGAGTGGGGGATTCTACAGGTGTGTGAGGGGGGCCACAGGTGTGTGAGGGGATCCACAGGTATGTGAGGAGATTTACAGATATGCGGGAGAGTCTACAGGCATGTAAGGGAGTTCATGAATGTGTGAGGTAATCCACAGATGTATGGGAGAGCCTACAGGTGTTTGAGGGATCCCACAGGTATGTGAGGGAGTCCACAGGTATGTGAGGGATCCCACAAGTGTGTGAAGGAGTCCACAAATGTGAGAGGGAGCCCACAGGTGTGTGAGGGAGCCTACACGTGTGTGAGGGAGTCCACAGGTGTGTGAGGGAGCCTACAGCTGTGTGAGGATCCCACAGGTGTGTGAGGAATCCCACAGGTGTGTGAGGGATCCCACAGTGTGTGAGGGAGCCCACAGTGTGAGAGAGCAGGTGTGTGAGTGAGTCCACAGGTGTGTGAGGGATCCCACAGGTGTGTGAGGGATCCCACAGTGTGAGAGTGCAGGTATGTGAGTGAGTCCACAGGTGTGTGAGGGATCCTACAGGTGTGTGAGGGATCCCACAGGTGTGTGAGTGAGTCCACAGGTGTGTGAGCAATCCAACAGGTGTGTGAGCAATCCCACAGGTGTGTGAAGGATCCCACAGGTGTGTGAGGGGGCAGCTAGTGCACACATCAGCTAGATGCTCTCCTGGAATGTGTTATGGTATGCTGGTCTCATCATAGTCATGACAGTCTCTTCTCCACACAGCTTTGAACTTGAAAAATTGTGTCGTTTTATCATGTCTGTGAAAAAGAACTACCGGCGGGTTCCTTACCACAATTGGAAGCATGCAGTCACGGTGGCACACTGCATGTACGCCATACTTCAGAACAACTACGGCCTCTTCACAGACCTCGAGGTGTGTGTGCACATCTATCAGAAAATGTCAGTGATGCGATGCCTACATCCAAGGGAGTTTATGGCATGAACTTAGCACCAGCACCCAGATACATATTACAGTTGATTGGAAATGTTGATCTAGGAATTTCAACTGTACTCAAATAATCCCTAGGGAAGTGTGTGTGTGTGTGTGTGTGTGTGTGTGTGTGTGTCTGTGTGTGTCTGTGTGTGTGTGTGTGTCTGTCCTTTCTTCTTTATTAAAGCTGACAGGTCCTGCATGTATTTAACTGGGTGAGTATTTCTTTTCTTTGTTTTTTTTTGGGTTTTTTTTTGTTTTTTTTTTTTTGAGACAGGGTTTTTCTGTGTATTCCTGGCTGTCCTGGAACTCACTTTGTAGACCAGTGTTGGGATTAAAGGCATGCACCACTACCACCCAGCTAGAGTGAAGTTTTCTTGTTGCTCATATGTCCTGGCTAACCTAGACTTACCTGGATGATTTGAGAACACCAAGCATGTAGTGTAGTTAAGACATTAGTGACATCTGGTCTCCTCCAGCCTAAGAAAACAGGCTTTGAGGTACACAACCAGCTTTCCAGGCTTCACAATTTTAGAATCACAAATATCATCCATTCAGTGACCATAGCACATGCCCAGCCAAGTGCTGAGTGACAAGAATTAGTGCCCAGGTCCCAGTGGAGCTGACACAAGTAGACAGCCAGACTTTGAGCACATCCCTTTGGGCTCCCAGCCTGGTGCTGCCAGAGACACCACAGACCCAGGTATCTTTTCTCTCTGCAAAGCAGTGCCACACTTCTGACTATAAAGGACAATACAGCCATCTATAATACACGGTCACACTCAAACACAGATCCACCCTATGCCCTTGCCACCCTGTCAGACCAAAGTCATAGATGAACCAGAAACTGTGGAAGGTGGGTTCCAGAAGTGGAATAAAGTACCACCTCAAACAGCAAAAAGCAGGGCTGGGAGGGTGGCTCAGGAGGTGAAAGTTGGCCGTGGAAGCCTGAGGACCCACACAAGCTGTGGGCATGGCCGTGCACAGTTTAACCCCAGCTCTGTGGGATGCAGAGACAGGAGGATTGCTAGGGTTTCCTGGACACCATCCTAGGTCCAGGTTCGGTGAGAGACCCCATCACTAAGAAATAAAGCAAGAAGTAATAGAGCAGGGGGTAAACAGAGACTCTGCTTTGCTTTCCTGGCTGCCCAGACCCGAATAATCACACATGATCTGTATTAATTACAACACTGTTTGGCCTGTTAGCTCAGCTTCTTATTAACTAACTCTTACATCTTAAATTAGCCCATTTGTGTTATTTTATATTTTACCATGAAGCTCGTGGTTTGTTGCCTCTTGGTTCTTGGGACACTACATGGCGTCTCCCTGACTTTGCCTTTTTTCCTCCGCTATCTCTGCTTGGACTTCCCACCCTGCTATATTCTGCCCTGCCATAGGCCAAAGGAGTTTCTTTATTAACCGGTGGTAATAAAACATATTTACAGCATACGGAGGGGAATCCCACATCAGCAGGGCATCCAGTGTCCTTCCCTAGCCTTTACCCAGACACACAGATGTGTGTGTCCCCCTTGCACATCTGCTGTTGTCTCACACACAGGCATGAAAAGGAATAAACTATTCATAGTTGTTGCTCTTTTGTTGCCTAAAATAATCTTTAGTTTTAGCAAAATTTAACAAGATATTGTTGACTTCAATATATTTGAAAGATTCAAATGAAACATGCTTTCTGTTCATTTGACTAAGTTTCTGTCCTATTGAAATTTGCATTCTATTTGCGGAGACTTTCAGCTTTTTCCCCATTTAACTCCTTTTGCAGTGCGCAGCTGTTCTGGGGTCACCGTGGCTGCCGCTCCCTCACCTGGCTTTGGGAACCTCTTTCCGCAGTTTCCTTAGAGCTGGAGTTCAGAATCGCCCAGACTCCTGCCTTCCTCTGTTCTCGCCGAGCTTTGGCGAATTCCGCCATTTCCTTTCTCCATCCAAGGCCAGTTTGAGGCTCAGACAACTGCCTTCCCAATTTTGACTCTCTGGCCACTGCTGTCACCCTTGGCTTCTGACAGTCTACTCACCTGCGCCACCTGCAGGATTCCCCACACCTGCTGCTGGTGTCCTTCATAAGGGTCTCCCTTGACCCTTCTCTCTTTTCTTTCTACAGCCAGTCAAGCGAGCCCCCGGGGATGCCTGAAAACAGCATGCAGACTTGGCTGACACCTTTAACACTTCCATCACTGCCCTGCTCTCACCCTCCCCTGCCTTCCCTTGGTCATTGCAACCCCTGCTACACATCCCTAGACAGTTTCCTAAAGCTGCCAGTTAGCTGCAGACACAGCAATCCCGGAGTCCCCTCACTCTGCTCCTTGTCATTTAGAATGTGACACTGTGTGAGGACCCTGTGCCCTGCCCTAGGTCTTCAGCGTGCTCCTGACCCAACTCAGGCATGCTCTTCTACCATGATCTTAAGCCCCATCTTGCCTCCTCCCTTCTTCTCACAGGGCTCTGTTGTTGTCTGGCTCTTTCTGGGTTTGGCCCAGGCTGCTCTCTTCAGTATAAGTTTACCTCCTTTTGGTTTCATAGCATTTTTCTTATTCTAATACAGTGTGCTGTTTTCATTTGTCCTGTGTTTGCACGTGGTGTGTATTGGCTGAGAATGGCAATGACCTTATTAGAACCAGGAGAACCCAAGCTGCCTGCCCCGTGCAGGACTGAGCTTGCCAGTGAGGCTTTAGTGCATTTGATAGCTCCTGCCCCTTCTCCAGAGTTCAAGAGGAAAACGCATTTGGCTTGTCAAGTTCACGTGCAGAAAAAGAAAGAACAGGATCCCCCAAAAGTGTGTGATTCCAAAGATTCCTACGAATTTGTACGTATCAGTGGCAGAAATGAATATAATGTGAGTAATCTGGGAGTCTCCCAGGTGTCCCCTTGTCATGTCTTAAACATGTCCACATTCTGTTATCTCTTCCAGCGCAAAGGCCTGCTAATTGCATGCCTGTGTCATGACCTGGACCACAGGGGCTTCAGTAATAGCTACCTTCAGAAATTCGACCACCCCCTGGCAGCACTGTATTCCACTTCCACTATGGAGCAGCACCACTTCTCCCAGACGGTGTCCATCCTGCAGGTAAGGTGCCAAGCTGCGGTGCTGGCAGCGGTGGTCTACACAATGCACTGTGCAGGTGGCAGCTGCACTCTACCATGCTGTCTTATCTTTAACGCAATTGCAAGTAGTTTTTTAGGATACAGCATCCAAGATTGGTTTCTCTATATCCCATAGCCAGTGTGTGGTATCTTCTGTCAGAGGCCATAGAAATATATAGCATATGGCAATTGATAAATTCAGATGTCAGTCCACCAGAAGGTTGAGTCTGATGGAGGCTAATCCTGCCCAGGCAAGGCCTGTAGGGTCATGGACTCTGGAAACTGCGGCTCACTCTTGCTAGAACAGCTTGGTGTCTCCCCAGCACCTGCACTGTAGTGTGTCATCTCACGTGATGTGTATGTGAGACCTTATGGTCACATATATCTGTGAATGGTCAGGAAGATGACTTTTCACTTAGCTATATAATTTTGGTATATAGAATATGTGCTGGGACATGCTTCATAACTAGATCTATTTGTCCCATGAGGACTGTGGACATGGAAAAGCCTGCTTTGTTGTTTTTTGCTCAGACTAACTGCATACAATTTGACCTCAAAGCAAGTTTAAACTAGATGAAAAGCCTATTGTCAACAGATCATAAGTTTAAACCTTTACAGCTATGAACAAGATCAGAGTTGCAGATGTCTAACCAGGTGACTATACAAATTACCCTAAGAAAAGCATGTCAATTCTTCACTTGCTAAGTCTGCTGACAATAGACCTATGTCTCAGAGTTTGTCACTGGGCACCAGGCTAGGATTAATGGCATGAGCCACCACTGCCTGGCAGCCACAGCAATTCTTATAAAGGAAAGCATTTAATTGGGACTGGCTTAGAGTTTCAGAGGGTCAGTCCATTATCACCATGGCAGGGAACATGGCAGTGTGTGGCCGACGTGGTGCTGGAGTGGCAGCTGAGAGTTTTACATCTGGATTCAGGAGATAGGTAGCAGGACAGAGAAAGACACTTGGCCTGACTTGGGCTTCTGAATCCCTAGAGTCCACCCCCAGTGGTACACTTCTTCCAGCAAGGCCACACCTACTCCAACAACATCACACCTCCCAGTAATGCCACTCCCTGTGAGCCTATGGGGACCGTTTTCGTTCAAACCATCACACCTTCCTTTGGGCTAGCCCTTGACTTCTTCCATAGCCTAAGACTCTGCACCCCAGCACCCAGTCTGCTCTCCCACTGTCTATGGATACATGCTCCCACCATGACCCTTCTCTAATTTCCTGTTTCCATTTGACACCCAAGTCTTTTGTGGACGGCTTCTGCCTACAGTACAGCCACAGCGTCTACTACCCACGGCAATCCCAATCGACACTCTCGACTGCAGCCAGGGTGTCCTGTTTTCCTGGCTTGGTGTAGGCATTCCTTCCCTGGTAATGTCATGTCATGATACCTCCACATAGTCCGGAGGCACAGCCTTATACCCCTTTTAGTTATTTCTGAGTTCCTCAGTGTTCACACCTCTTGGGTTTCTTTTTTGCCTCTTGAGGTTTTCTCTTTCAATGGGGTGCTCTTGCACCTTCAGCGACTGTGCCTAACGTGTCTGCTTCCTGTGAGTTCCAGGAAAGTGGGCTGCTAGTTACAGTGTGACCTAAAGTAGTTGAGTATATAGATGATTATCTAAGCATGAGTTGTAGTACGGTATGAAATTACTAGTATTAACAGGTCCAAAAGAAAAAGCTGCTGGTAACTTCGTTACTTTTTATTTCCTATGTCCATCACTATAAAAACACACGGAAATAAGGCATAGTAAAGCCACTTGTGTTTTGTGGGACCACGTGGTATCCTATAGATAAAATCGTCCACATAAGCAATTGCTCTATCACAACAACGAAACAGTCCCTTTGTTTCCCCAAACTTGTCGTTGCGGCGACATTTGGCACTGTTGTCCGTCCATACTGTTTCCAAGTAGTGGAAGATGCCCTGAGGCTAGGTGCGCTGCTATTGGTGGTTTTCCTCTTGTCTCTCTGTAGCTGGAAGGGCACAACATCTTCTCCACCCTGAGCTCCAGCGAGTACGAGCAGGTGCTGGAGATCATCCGTAAAGCCATCATCGCCACTGACCTCGCCCTGTACTTTGGGAACAGGAAGCAGTTGGAGGAGATGTACCAGACGGGGTCGCTAAACCTCCACAACCAGTCGCATCGGTAAGGACAGCTTGGCCTAGGCTATGAGCCTGATGTGTGAGCCAAGAACTGTAAATGTGTGTGTGTGTGTGTGTGTGTGTGTGTGTGTCTTCAGCAGAGAACACACGGAGGGCATGCCTCTGCTGACATGCATTTTGATGGTGGTTCCACTGTTTTTCCAGGGGATGGTTTGCAGAGTGGACTTAGCTTCAGGCCCAGTGTGGTGTGAGTCTCTGACCTGCCTCAGATTTCATGTTGTGATTATCTGTATCCAGTCAGCCTCTCCTCCGTGAGGCCATCTTTATCCTAAGGTGCAAGGACAGCTACTTACTGGTTCCGTCCCTGTCTCTTCTGGGATCCTTCTAGACCTGGTCTTAGATTTCTTTCTAGAGGATGGTCTCTGCTTTTGGGCTCTTAGCAAATGGGTAGAACTGGAGCCCAGCTCGCAGGAGTAAAGGATGTCTTTATAAGGATGTGTGCGTCTCAGCTCAGCAGCAGCTGAGCAAGCTCCCCTCACACCAGGGCACGCCCACATTCTGCAAGCCTGAAATGGATCTATCTTTCAGAGGAACAATGCAGCAGGCCATGTTTCTTTCACACACAGCAAGGCCTCTCCAGGACGACTTGAGCCATTGTTGATAAAGCTCCAAGGTGCCTCTCATTCCTCTCACTCTGCCTCCCTGATGCTCACAAGGGCAGTGTGCTTCAAGTCGCCTCGGCCCACAGTGTGTGTGGTTCTTGTGCCCACACCCTGTGCAGGAAGAGGAGTTTGTTTACATTCTCTTTATGGCACCTTCGGAGGGATATTTGACCCTCCTGAAAAATGCTTATTTTCAGAAACCCATCCTTCTACTTTTTTCTTGGATATATTCAGTTATTTATTAACCAAATAGTCACAATAGTTAATATGTCATTATAGAAAATTAAACAGCAAATTGAAAGTCTATTTTTCATGCTTAATGCATATGGGCCTCTGTGTTGGTGGCACACATTAGCTGTGACTGGTTTGTGTTGATTGACAGTTTTAAAGGTAATACTTGTTTGTCTCAACAATCTTCCGAGTGAAGAAACCCGGGCAGGAAAGAGAGCGACAGTCTCGCTTTTACCCAGATGTCACGTGCTTGCTCTGGCATCACCCCATTGTTTCTCCAGAGGTGTGCACAGTGTGCCTGCGGTGTGTGCCCATCCATGTGCCTTCTCCTCAAAATGTGCCTATGCCAGAGCCGGTCCTTTTTTTGAATTGTTTTTATTGAGCTGTATGTGATTTCCACTCTGCTTCCTTCCACCCTCCCTCCCCTTCTACTGTCTCCCATGGTCCCCATGCTCCCAATTTACTCAGGAGGTCTTGTCTTTTTCTACTTCCCATGTAGATTAGATCCATGTATGTCTCTCTTAGGGTCCTCTTTGTTGTCTAGGTTCTCTAGGACTGTGCTTTGTAGGCTGGTTTTCTTTGCTTTATGTCTAAAAGCCACTTATGAATGAGCATATATTATATTTGTCTTTCTGGATCTGGGTTACCTCACTCAATATGATGATTTCTAAATCCATCCATTTGCCCACAAATTTCAAGATATTGTTATCTTTTCTCCCGTTGTGTAGTATTCCATTGTGTAAATATACCACATCTTCTTTATCCAGTCTTCAGTACAGGAGCATTTAGGTTGTTTCCAACCTAAATATTACAAATTAAAATTTGCAAATATTAAAATTGACAAACATTGCAGAGCCATTCTTTTTTTTTTTAAATTATCCTATAACACAATCTAACATAAATAGTTGTAAAGGTTTAGAAACCTTCTCCAGATTGATGGTGATAATTTCTAGACTTTGCCATTATAAACAGTGATACAATAAACTTTGCTCATGTGATCTTTTCTATGCCTGTGGACCCTTGACATTATATAGCATAGCACCGGAGAGATGGCTCGGTGGTTAAGAGCACTGACTGCTCTTACAGGGGACCTGAGTTTTATTCCTAGCACCTACGTGACAGCTCAAAACCAGTTTTCCATTGTCTTCTTCTGGCCTCTGTGGCACATGGTGCACAGACACACATGCAGACAAGACACTGATAGACATGAAATAAAAAAATTAAGTATATATGTGGCATATATTGCTAGAAATATACATACATTAAGCTTTAAAACAGACAAGGTAGGAATTCCCCCATATTCTCACAGGAGGGTGAGAAGAGACCTGATCCATGTACTCTTGTCTGCTGCCCCAAAGCATCTCACACTCGCTGACTTCCGCGTGCCCTGTCCACAACGTTCTGCTGAACGTTTACTCCTAATAAATCATTGTCCGACCTGTGTGTGTGTGTGTGTGTGTGTGTGTGTGTGTGTGGTCTGAGGGTGGAACCCAAGGCCTCACACATGCCAGGGAAACCCTCTATTAGTGAGTGATACTCTAGCCCTAGATTCTCTGTTAAGAACAAAGAAACCTCAGATCATGAAGACACATCAGTTACTTGCTCTTATCAAACCCCACAGCCATGCAAACACTTCATAAATGTTTGTGCATTTTATAGCTCAATTTTTATATTTAGCTCTGAATTCTTATATTAATAGAATTATGTTTGTATTTCCTCTTGATGCATTAAATCAGTGTCACTTAATGGCTAGTTCAGTTTCCCCACTGCATTGACGATGTTAAGAGTGTTGTAACCTGGGAGGTCTCCTGAAGCATTTCTGCCAACTGTCCACTCCCCTGCAGTTCATCTGTATTGGCTTTCATCTTATGGAATGAGTCACATGACATCACAGGCTTGCACCCCTTCCTGTGAGTGTCAGAAGCAAACGGTAATCTGCTGTAGATCTTCCAAATTATTGACATTTTAGTATTACATTTAATTGTTTACCTGAAAGGAAAGCACAGTGTCATTTTTTGGATGATATTTATGGGTTATTTGCCTTTCCCAACTACAAGTTTCTATGAGGGCAGAGTTTGTCTTATTATGCAGGATCCAGAATTGCTAGATTAAATGAGCAGGCCAATGTGTTTGAAGTTACTAGGGGACCATGAGCACGTTGTTGTCCGAGTTGCTTTCAGCTTTCCCTCTGAGGTCGGCAGCGATAGACTGGTCACCCTGAGATTATACCGGGAATGCTTCCCGCAGGAACCCCACAGGGCACAGCTGCTGGCGGGAACCCTTTCAGGGTTGAGGTCTAATTACATCCATGAACAGAATAAGGATCCGTTCTGGCATCTCTGAGTGGTCATGACCATCTAGCTGATTTATAATTGTGAATAAAAACAGTAATTATACTTAATACGGATACATGCCAAATTTCCAGGCTACGCACTTCCTCATGAGCAATATAATAACGACTTTGCAATGTGTGGTCTCAATAATGTTGACAGTTCTAAGTGTGAGGATGTTTTCTCTGGGAAAGGGTCTACACATTTACAAAGCCCAGTGCTATTAACACCGCTTTTTACAGAGTTCCTATAGGAGAGTTTTTTTTTTCAGATTAAACCTTATTATACTACTTAACATAAAAAATATTGGGTTTTAAAAAAATGTTGGGGTGTGGGTGAAAATGCATTGAACGAGATTGACTCACTTCAATTGCATGGAAGAATTATTTGTAACTAGAAGGCTAGTTTTCATGTTCTCCATCTGTCTAGTAAATTAATTCTTTAGAAGCCCAAATTCAAAAATGCTCTTCTTTTTCTAAAAATTAATGGAACCAGAGAATTGTAGATTTCTCTGGTCACTTTAAACTACTTGGGTCTTGAAGTGGCATCTACTTGGGATGCCAGGTGACCATACATGACTGCTGAGCGCCTCTCAGTTATCCGCCCTGACCAGTAACAGATGAAAAAGGCCCTCGGGATGTCCCCTTAAAAAAGCCAGATGGTGGAGGTCGGTGAGTAAGACAGAAAGTGGACTGATGGCAAACAGCACCGTATGATGTGGCATTCAGGAAACTGGAGTGAGAACTGCGTGAGCGTCTCTGCGACCTTGACAGATGACCCGACAAACCATGTCCACCGGTCCAGGCTGTGTCCCCAGTGGAGAAATCCGCTGGTAGCCCTGTGTCCCTCAGACCTCACTGAATACCTGCGAGCGGGAAGTGTCCGTGTGTCTCACCTCTGACGCAGTTCTGCATGTCAGGTGATGAAGGATCTTTATAACTTCATTTCACAAGACTAAATATCACCAGAGAAAACCCAGTAAAGTTGCCGGCAACATGTTTCTTTGAACTTTTAAGCAATTACTATTTTTCTTTAAGAGAAAAGATTTAGCAGTACTTGTGTACAAATCGCAAGTCAGACATGTAGTGTATCGCCTCAGAGGCCAAGAAGCTAAACAGAAAACCCCTTTCTTTGTCAAAGTCTGAGTCTGAACAAGTTCTTGCTAAATAGCACAGCCTTGGAGGAACATGGTCCACCCCACCCTGCATGCATCAAGCTCATCACACAGCCAAGTCCTCCTCGGACCTGTTCATGTGACTTCTCCCTTGAAGAAGCTGAGCATTTCTGTACGTCTCAGACTTGGTGGATGTAGGTTTTCCCTTCAGGTGACATTACAGTTGCAGAGGTCTGTGAAGTGAAAGCTTGGCCCATAGCTCTGAGGAAGGCTAGACAACCTGGAAGGTAACTGCTGCCTGCTGTGTTTGCTCCAGCAAGGATACCGAGGCACCAGGAGCTCAAACGCGCTCCTGTACAACCTGATGTCACAGCTAAAGCCACTTTGCTCTTTAAGTCCATATTGCTTAATATGCTAAACTACGTGGTTCTGCTTCTTAATGCTTTTTCTGTCATCGGGAAGTGTTGCACTGGCAAGCCTTACTCCTGGTGATGCCTGCACCGCCCCCTCCCCCCACACTCACCCACAGGTCTCCAAGCAAAGTGTAAATACCGCACTCACCAGTTTTATATTATCTTCTAGAGACCGTGTAATCGGATTGATGATGACTGCCTGCGATCTTTGTTCTGTGACGAAACTATGGCCAGTTACAAAATTGACAGCAAATGATATATACGCAGAATTCTGGGCTGAGGTATGTCCTTGATTCTTATATTAACTTAGACATTACCAATGTCAACGAATAAGTGAATGAGTGAATGAACGAATGAATGAAGTGCAGTGGCCAGTCAGTCTGCCTAAGACCTGATTGGTCATGCTCATAGTTGCCTTGGAAACCCAGGGTCAGTCACATAGCATGACAAATTCATCGAGTATCGTTGTGTGCTGAGAACTCTATCCCAGCCTACCCAACTAAGGGCAGATCCCCTGATCCCCACTGGAAGAGTGAGTGTGAGAGCATGCTCAGTGAGCATTGCTGCAGCAACTTCCCTTTCTTGACAGCCGATCTGTGCTCACTGGGAAATGTACTACTGGATATTGCTTTACGTGTGCAGTGGGTATCGAGGGCTCCGAAGCCCTGGGCTTTATCTGCTGCCCGTGAGGAACTGGGGAGAGTCATCCTTGTTTGATCCTAGCATAAGACAGTGTCATTGTGTTCCCAGGCCAGCTCAGGTTCTGCCTTCTACGGAGCAGCCAGCCTCTAGAGCAGTGGTTCTCAACCTGTGGGTCTCAACTCCTTTGAGGTTAAACCACCCTTCCACAGCGGTTGCCTAAGATCATCAGAAAACATAAACATTGTCATTATGATTCGTAACGGTAGCAAAGTTACAGTTATGAAATAATAACAAAGTTAATTTTGTGGTTGGGGGGTCACCACAACATGGATCAAGTGTACTAAAAGGCTCATAACATTAGGAAGGTTGAGAACCGCTGCTCCAGACCCCCCCGCCCCCCACACACACTCACTCACTTTGTTTTACTGTGTAACAGAAGCTGTCAAGCTTAGTTAATGAAAGTGAGATCCCCTGGCCCAATCCTTCCTTGCCAGTCAGGTCAGTTATGTGGTTGTGTGGTTGTGGTTGTTCCTGTGACTACAGCATGTCCTGAAACACCGCCTGGGGAAACTGGGCTACTGTTCCGCTCATTTTTACACACCATGCAGATCATCCTTTACTGACTACAGTTGTTTTCTAAGCCGTGAATGAAGATGTGGCAGACAGGGAGTGTAGGTTCCTCCCTGAATACACCCCATGGATTACCCAGTCTCTAGGACCTTGTCCTCCCTGGGAGGAGTCCCGAATAGTCTCCAGGCCCTGGCATTTAATTTAACCCCCTGAAGTCCAGTGTCTCCTCTCCTCCCCACCATGCTGCTGCTGCTGCTTCCTACTCTACCCCTCCCACCGCCACATTCCTCACCTGTGCCTTTCAGAGAAGCCGTGAAGAATGCAGTCTTGGGTCATACAGTCCCAGAGTATCCTTGCTTGGCCCTTAGTGTAGCTCTGGGCATCAGCACCCCATGTCAAATACTCCAGCAGCATTGGCTTCAGATCTCCACCCTCACCCCTGCACCCCCTGCCATAGCCTGCCTCTGCCCCTCACAGCCCTTGAAGTCCTCCTTGGGTGCCTGCCCGTCACTGGGTTTCCTTGTCAGCATTAATCTGGCTCTAAGCACGCACTGAAGTCGCTTATCTAGAAATGTGTTCCCCTCTGAGACTCCTGACAGCTTCCTGAGCAGGAACTTGGTAGTTTTCCCTCCTTTGGTTAGAGACGAAAGCGATGAGACCACCAGTTTCTGCATGCAAAGCGGGGAGCTGAAGAACTGGTGCTTTGGGGACCTGGGTGCTACAGGACAAGTTTTAGGGCATAGAGTGAGGGGTCTAGCCACTAATGGCTCACTAACAGGTCCTAGGTTTGGTTTCTGAAGAAAAAAAGTTGACTTAAATGACTCCGTGTGCATCATTAAGAAGACTTCAACAGGTTTCAAGGGAACAGAAGGTAGTGTCTGTAGGAGCCGTAAGGATACTGTGTCTAGTGTCTGTAGGAGTCGTAAGGATACTGTGTCTAGTGTCTGTAGGAGCCGTAAGGATACTGTGTCTAGTGTCTGTATGAGCTGTAAGGATGCTGTGTCTAGTGTCTGTAGGAGCCGTAAGGATACTGTGTCTAGTGTCTGTATGAGCTGTAAGGATGCTGTGTCTAGTGTCTGTAGGAGCCGTAAGGATACTGTGTCTAGTGACTGTAGGAGCTGTAAGGACGCTGTGTCTAGTGACTGTAGGAGCTGTAAGGATGCTGTGTCTAGTGTCTGTAGGAGCCGTAAGGATACTGTGTCTAGTGACTGTAGGAGCTGTAAGGATGCTGTGTCTAGTGACTGTAGGAGCCGTAAGGATACTGTGTCTAGTGACTGTAGGAGCTGTAAGGACGCTGTGTCTAGTGACTGTAGGAGCTGTAAGGATGCTGTGTCTAGTGTCTGTAGGAGCCGTAAGGATACTGTGTCTAGTGTCTGTAGGAGCTGTAAGGATACTGTGTATAGTGACTATAGGAGCTGTAAGGATGCTGTGTCTAGTGTCTGTAGGAGCTGTAAGGATGTTGTGTCTAGTGACTGTAGGAGCTGTAAGGACGCTGTGTCTAGTGACTGTAGGAGCTGTAAGGATGCTGTGTCTAGTGTCTGTAGGAACTGTAAGGATACTGTGTCTAGTGACTGTAGGAGCCGTAAGGATACTGTGTCTAGTGACTGTAGGAGCTGTAAGGATGCTGTGTCTAGTGTCTGTAGGAGCCGTAAGGATACCGTGTCTAGTGACTGTAGGAACTGTAAGGATACTGTGTCTAGTGACTGTAGGAGCTGTAAGGATGCTGTGTCTAGTGACTGTAGGAGCTGTAAGGACGCTGTGTCTAGTGACTGTAGGAGCTGTAAGGATGCTGTGTCTAGTGTCTGTAGGAGCTGTAAGGATGCTGTGTCTAGTGACTGTAGGAGCTGTAAGGACGCTGTGTGCATCTTGTAGTGCTTCTAGAGGACTAAGTGAAATGACACAAATGCCCATCCCCAAGTCCCCTACAGCAACCACCTACATCAGGAATGTGGTACCAGGTTATGTGTCTTTGTCCTGGATCCCCACTGACCCTTTTGGCAAACTGCTTATCATTCCCCCGCCAACACCATGAAAGCCCAATTTCACCCATTTCACACAAAGGAAGAACCATTTGAGAAAGAAGCAAGGGCAGCCATGATGCCTTTGTATGCCCATCACCCCTCCTGCCATTCGCGGCTCTGCAGTGGCACCAGAGGAGATGTTCCGGTGTCTAGTAATTTGGCAGAGAAGAATCTCAGAGCACAGTACAGGGACACAGAGATGGCCATTGCTTTGACACCATGTCTCTTGGGGCAAGAGTCATTTTAAAGGAAGTTTTCATTAACACCCCAATTTTGTATGACTATTTGAAAACTATGGGTCACCTCTTCCTTTCTACTGCAGGGAGATGAAATGAAGAAGCTGGGAATTCAGCCCATTCCCATGATGGACAGAGACAAGCGAGATGAAGTCCCGCAAGGACAGGTATGAAGACCAAGAGCCGTCTGTGTGGTTGTCTGTCTCTCTGTCCATCATCTATCTATGGAACTTGGTGGTTTTGAACCCTCTGTCGATGGGTCTCAAACCCAGAGCTCACAGTTAGTGTGTTCTATCTGGCCCCCGTGTTTGTGTGAACCTGTGGGGGTCCTGCACACTCTGGGGTGTCTACTCCTTCCTCTCTTCCCTCCACTGCTGCTTTTGTTCCCCCGTTTTACATTTGGCTATTAAATTATTTGAAATACATCTTGTCGCTAAGGAAGGGACCTAACAAAGTCTTTCTAAACAGTTGTAACAGATTCTTTCCCCAAGAGGGTTCTGTTTTAGGACTCTCAATTAGAAAAATAGTTCGTTTTAAAATAGGTTGAGCTTTACCAAAAGAGTAACTCATTTTGTAGCATGAGTGAGTTTTAAATATGTCTGAGACCCACAAATTTTTTCTGTTCTTCTAAATTCCAAACTGATCACTGTGAAGCTGTTTTATCACAACAGGGAAGTACTCTCTTCCCCAGTATATAATCTTTTTTTTGGGGGGGGGTGTTCTAGCTTAGTGACTCTTTGCTCATATTTAGAATAAGAAAATACCCATTGTCTCAGTGTGTGGGTGCACCCTTCACGGAGGTCAGGGAACCCTGATTGCTCTTCGAGCTGATGAGGGAGGGGGACTTGATCGGGGGAGGGGGAGGGAAATGGGAGGCGGTGGCGGGGAGGAGGCAGAAATCTTTAATAAATAAATAAATTTTTAAAAATTAATTAATTAATTAATTGAGTGTTAAAAAAAAGAAAGAAAATACCTGCACAAGCTATGTAATTAAAAATAAGCCCAGGATCCTGTGGCAGGAGTTTCATGAGTTCAGGTGTCATGAACTCAAGGCCTACCTGTACTGCAGACAAGACGCCATCTCAAACCCATTTCCAAAGTGGAAACATATAAGCATTGCTCATGCGTGGAGACTGTGAGCATTACAGTAGGAGATAGTGAAATGGAACCACATAGACCTCTTGCTGCTTCTGCTCTCGGATGCGTCTGGAGTTGTGTTTCTCAAGAAGCTGCTGAACTAACCTAGGCAGTCGATGGTGCCACTGTGCCATCTCATTGGTCAGTCGTGAAGTGGGGCTCATCAGTGGAGGGCAGCCCCACAGTGATCTGCCTCTGCCCTTCACTAGGTAGCCTGGGGTAGCATCGGTTGGTAGATGGTGAGGTCTCACTGTTAGAGAGAGGGGAATGCTGAGCTAGGAGAGCATCGCTGAGCACCAGTGAGGAGTGTGGGGATGGCACAAGGCTAAAGAAAGAAAACCAGAAATGGCGTCAGCTGCCCTTGCATGCTAAGCTGGAAGAGAACTGGGCAGGTGAAGCACTATGGGCCCCCAACTTTGCAATATCTAGAGGGCAGCATCAAATTAACACAGGATCTTAACAGGCCTTGGATTCAAGCCTGACTTCTTTAACTTGTTTAACTCACTGAAGTTTTAACTCCCATGGATGTAAATGGCTGCTCTGTGTTAGGAATGTGTGCAGGTATTCTTTGCATTTATCTGAATGCACTGTCAATCACTCAGTGCTGGTCTTCTCAGGGCTCAGGAGATATAGCAGATAGCACTGATCAGACACAGGGAACAGCACACAGAACATAGTACACAGCACCACACACACACAGCATGGGCACCACACACAACATACACAGCATACACACATACAGCACACAGCACATACACAGCACACACAGCACACACATAGCACAGGCACCACACACAGCATGAACACATACAGCACACAGCACACACACAGCACAGGCACCACACACAGCATGAACACATACAGCACACAGCACATACACAGCACACACAGCACAGGCACCACACACAGCATGCACAGCATGAACACATCACAGACACACAAACAGCACACAGACAGCACACACAACAAGGTACCACACATAGCACACACACACAGCACATACACACAAATAGCACACAGCACATACGCAGCACACACAGGACACACACAGCACAGATACTACACACAGCATGCACACATACAGCACACACATAGCACATATATAACACACACAGCACACACACAACATACACAGCACATACACAGCACACACATAGCAAGGCACCACACACAGCACATAGACACAAAGAGCACACATAGCATACAGCAGAACCACTGACTTCATACTTAGGCTTCAGGGACAGAAAAGTGGGGGCATCCACATCCTAACAGTGGTCTTGCTTTGTTTCCCTGACCTCTCTCTGTGGCAGCTTGGGTTCTACAATGCCGTGGCCATTCCCTGCTACACCACACTGACGCAGATCCTCCCGCCCACGGAGCCGCTGCTGAAGGCCTGCAGGTAAGCGCCGCATTCCATCAAAGCCATCCTGAACTCTGCATGAGGTTTCTCACTCCATCGGCCTGTGGGTATGTGGTATTCAGTTTATAGTGAGTTTTCTGATTTGCAGCCTGCGTCCTTGCTGTGCTAACATTTGCCCTGTTCAGGGGTCCTGGGTGAGCCCAGTTGACTGATTTAATCAGGGTTGAGAACCCCCCCCCCTTTCCTTTGTATCAGCATTGAATTTCATACACTAGCTGATGCTAAGGCAGCCTGTTGTGTAGCTCAGACAAGACAGATGGTACTGGCAGCCCATGCCATGGACCAGGGCAGGTCAAAGGGGCTGTGTGCAGAGAACCCCTCAGGGTAGGGTGCTTACCTGTGCTCTGTGTCAGCCAGGCATGAGGAGTCTCCCTGAAGACAATGAGCCTCTTTTTCTGTAAGCAGCTCCCTTCTCGACCTGTGAATGTCCTGTCTGTGGTCTATGCTGATGGGACCTCAACTCCCAGATCCCTCCCAGGCAGCACCCTGCAGTCTCTGACACCGTGTGTGGCCCACAGACACTCAGACATGCCAGTCACAAATCTCACAGTCACCGTGAGTCTCCTACAGTGACCTCTACATGGTGTATGGGGAGAGCACACACATTCATTCCTCCCAGACAGAGTGGGAGCCACTGTCAGCCTGCAGAGGAGAGTCTCCTTGGGTGGCTGTCAGGAAAGGGGCTCATCTTCAGTCACAGCAGGAACTGTGAGTGGGAGAGGAGAAAGCTTGGGTCGATGCCCTTCCTCTTGGGTGTGCTGTGCCCTTCCATCTGATATCTGTCCTCGCTGCAGGTTCACTCCGCTTCACCTTTCCCTAGGTCCAAGCTCAGATAAGAACACTGATACTTTTAAAGATTCCAACTTTTTTTGTTTGTTTTCTGAGACAGGGTTTCTCTGTGTAGCCCTGGCTGTCCTGGAATTCACTCTGTAGACCAGGCTGGCCTCAAACTCACAGAGATCCTCCTGCCTCTGCTTGGACAAACAGAAGGTGACTGGTGTCCAAGCTTTCTCATTGCTCAGGCTTGCCCAGGCTGGGCAGCTGGGGTGGACACCAGGGAAGAGGTCATGCTATTGGCCAGAAGATTCAGATAAAACTCAGACGTGGTGTGCTCCAGCCTCTGCTGTGGAAGCATCTTTAAAACACCAAACCAATAAAGCCACCAAGAAAGGCCACTTTAAATCGTTTCTTTTCCTATCTGAGAGACGGCATTTCTTCCATCCAGTCCTGGATAGTTCTGCGCATGGCCCCATCTCCTTGCTCTTCGGTGGCCTGAATCATTGGGAGTTCATGGGGACTTGATCCACAGAGGCTTACAGGGATGGCTCCTCCCTGGGCTATGGCTTGCCTCTAGAGGGATCAACTTGAAGAAGCACTCACATCAGAGGGCAGTAGGGATAGCAACTCATCTGCATCCAGGCCTGTATATAGATGGAGACTGTGCGTTGGTTTCCTGGCCTCCCAGACTCGAATAATCACACAGAAACTATATTAATTACAACGCTGTTTGGTCAGTGGCTCAAACATATTCCTAGCTAGCTATTATATCTTAAATTTATCCATATGTATTACTCTGTATATCACCACAAGGCTGTGGCCTACATGTAAGGTTTTGGCATCCTTCTCCTTCGGCAGCTACATGGCATCTGCCTGGCTCTGCCTACTCTCTCTATATATCTCTTCTAGCCTGGCTATATTCTGCCCTGCTGTAGACCAAAGCGGCTTTTTTTATTAACAAATGCTAATAAAGCACAGTACAGCATACACAGGGGAATGCCACATCACCTGTACTTGGCAACCCTAAGTTGAAAGCCCCCTTTCCTATCTGGGCCACCATGTTTTGTGGTAAATATTCAGGAGTGGGCAGGTACATAGCTGTCGAACCTTTGAGCACAGGACTGACTGCAGTGGCTTTGGCTAACCCACATCATTTCTTAAAGGCTATCGCAGTATTTGAATATTTTATTCACATGAAGAAGGAAATTACCAAATTTAGGGTATGTCTTTTGCCAATATGTCAGACAATCCGTAAGATCTAGGAAAATGATACTCAATGTTATGGTGTAGATACCTGGCTTACATTGTGTTTTAGGATTCTACCCCCCACCCCCACCCCACACATACACCCCAAGGTATTTTAGCATGCTTGCTAATAAAAGAAAGTTAGGGGAGTTTTTAGTAGTGTTGTGTATAAATTTTGTGCTTGCCACTGATAAAACTCCCTTCTGACATTGACTTTATGCAAAACAAAGCTGAGTCAGGGTGGGGTGTAAAGAATTCCATCAGGCTCAGGCTCACAGGGCAAGCTCACAGGGTGAGCTGACATTGTGGGCTCACAGGACGGGCTCAGACTGCGGGCTCACACAGCAAGCTGTCACCTTTGCAGGGTTGTGAGGCCATGTGCCTGCGACATACCTGTTGAAGACAAGGAAAGAAGAGATTAGAGGACAGTAGAACGGGTCTCTGATTCGCGGTCACCAGAGCAGAGTGCTTCTGCAGTGGGACATTTTGGAAGCCCGTGCCATTGAATTTGAGATGTTTCACACAAGAGAGGCTGGCTGTTCAGATTAAAGGCACTGTGGAGAGGATAACCGCCTCCCAAGGTCTCTGTAACTTGGGTAGTACCATCCTTCTCTCTCACCTGGCTGCCTCTTGCCTGGATCAGCCCCGACAAGGAGCCCTAGGTACTCTTTCTGACTGCATCCTCAGTAATTAGTAAACACGACCCTTGTTCCAGCCCAGCTTTTGTCCTCATAGCCTAGAGCCCTTGGGACAAGGTGCCCGGTGCCCTGGTGTCTCTTGGGCTCACTGCTGAAGAGACGTGGCAAGAGCTTGCCTTGCCACCCCACACCAGCGGCTGTCAGCATTAGAAGGGCTCTGAGAAGACCATGACATCTGTAACTCTGTCCTTTGTGCCTAGGAACAATCTCAATCAGTGGGAGAAGGTGATCCGTGGGGAGGAGACTGCATTGTGGATTTCAGGCCCGGCAGCTGGAAAGGAGCCGTCTGAGAAGCTGCCCGAGAAGGTTGATGACTGATACTGGCGAGATGTCCGCCCAGCAACCGACCCTCATCCTGCTTCTTCCACGTCGTTCCTTTTATTTTTAAGGGGGAGGGGACACCTCTCCCAGAAGGTACCATCACATACGTGAAGCAGAGGACTTCCTGATTGTCGCTCATGCCTCGGACAGTGAGCTGTTTGGGCTCCACTGTGTTCAGACATCAGCTGTTCTGTGGCTCCACCCGACTCCCGAATGACCTCTGTGAACAGGCCAGCAATGCACTGGCCTTGAAGGTGGGCAGAGACCACAGGAGGGGTTCCTGTCCGGGTCCTTCCGTGAGGGTGTGGTCAGTACCCTGGCTCTGTGCTTCTCCTCTAGGGCACTGCTGCTTGGTGGCATTGGCTATAAACACGACACCGGTCCTTGTAGTGAAGTCCACATGTGACCTCCCTGTTGTATCCTGGGACACAGGTAATGAAGGGTCACAGCCCACAGGCAATTGAGGAATTCAAGTTGTTGATTTTAGGCGGACTAGGTGTGTTCTTTCAGTTTATTCTGGGGCATGTAGGTGAGTTGGCTCCGCCTAAGGAAGCAGACCTCTGCCCTTCATCAATGAGACACAGGGTACATCCCAGGCATCCGAAAACCTCAGCTCTCAGAGAATGAAAACACGTTCCCCTTGCTGTAGACTGTAGCCTTTGGCAACTTTAGCCACAGAGAAAATAAAAGTAAGGCATCTGAATTTCCTGCAGCAAGAAAAACCTTGTGAGTAAAATAATATGTTAATTTTCCAAACAATTCCTTTAAATTTTGACTGTGTGTTATGGCAGCATTTTAGTCTAATCCAAATTGAAAGATTATTCCAAATGACACCCCATCCCACTCCGCACTCCCCTCAGAGGCACCTGGGTTCGCAATCTCTCCCCTCACTGTGCAGCCCAACAGGAGGAGGTGCAGGGCCGCCACGCTGACCCTTGATCGTGACTTCTCTGCCACGCTCATATCCGGAGTCCTCCACAAAGATCCCTGTTTGTGACTCGTTCTTGTGTGTGACAGTCTGGTGCCTGCTGCTGGGTGAAGTTAGAGAAGCTGACAGAGCTCCTGGACTCTTCCTGCTGTGTTCTAAGGATTTTCAGGATGGTGGCAGGGAGACCAGAGAACCCATGCTTGGTTGTTCTGGCTTAGTGAATGAGTCTTGAGAAGTCAGAGACTGGTCAGAAACAAACGGCTCTCTTAGGGCTCTGCCAGGGGGGTGAAAAGTTGCTTTGAAACGCATTTTCGAGATAGGCTTTGATACACTCCATACTGTATGCACCACTGCTTCCAGGAGCTTGGCATCAGCAAAAATCTACTGGGTTTTCTTCTACATATTGATTTATGTTATAGCAGAGCGGCTGAACACAAACCTATTCTCATTTTATATTAACACCATGTGCTCATTGTCCCCACGGGCTTCTAAAAAGCTACCATCTCCCCTCCATGACATTGATTTGCTGTTGTCACCGTATCAAGTAAAAGGTGATGCCAGTGACCACCAGGGCTGGGCACACGTAGTATGCATGGCTTGGGCACAAACACACAGATGTCTATACGGCACACATGTGAGACAAAAGGAAAGAAAGGAGCAAGCACTTATAAAAATGACGGTCACCCCCATATTCAAAAGCAGTGGTTTTCCACGTTGGGACATGAGGACATGAACGGAAGTGTGGCTTCTGTAAGTGTTCACAGGCAGAAGGGTGTGGCAAGTCCTTTCCTCATGCAGACACATGGCACTAGATTTAACAAAAGCCGCTTTCCCCACACACGTTGACAGATCATCTGTCTTAGAAGCCGGACTGCAGCAAGGGGCAGCATTAGGATGCTTGTTTCATTCTGGCATTTTGAAGGAAAGAATGAATTCTGTCCCCAAGTTTGGAGAAGGATCCTGGTCGTGGGAATTCTGTGACTGCTTTAGCATTTCGTGGTGGCTGTGGCAATAAGAATATTACAGAAATCTCTTTCAGTTTGACCTAGCCAAGAATATTGTATTGTGTGGCCTCTACTGGAGCAGTTGTGCAGAGGAACCTGCTGGGAATTTACTGGCTGGGCAATCTCTCATGAAATACTGCCACATGAGAAGCAGTTTGGATAAAAGGTGATAGGTGATTTTTTTAAAGGCCTTTTAAATTATTATTTTCTAAAAGATGTTTGTAAGATTGTTTTCACCATGTGTGAGACCCAGGAGGCATAGATTTGCCGAAAATAAGAGAGGCCAGGTTGCAGCCTTGTTTAGTTAATAATTTGGCGTTTGAATTCATGCAGTCAAGAGTGTTTGTGTGTGTTTGTGTGTGTGTGTGTCTTGGCAAGTATGTTTAGCAGACAAACACTTGAATCCTGCCTCTGAGTTTTTCCCACCTCTTTTCTCACTATGCTTTCTCCCACCAAGGATTTCCAGGAATTTCTCATTAGTGTCTGAGGCAAACTTAGTGACTAATAATGAATATGATAAAGAGAATGTTCCATTTGCCGAAATTATATTATTTATGATCATTTTAACACACAAGTTTTAGAGTCGTGGCGGTTGTTTAATTTCTTTCCACACTTTGTGGTACCTTTTTATCTGGGAAAATGTTCCCGGATACCTAGGTGCATGCCAACACCGACGTGAAGTGTTTTGAGTCTGTGCGGTGAACCTCCAATCCTAAAAATTGTGCCACCATGGATTAGTTGTCTAAATTAGTTAAAACAAAGTTGAAGGCACGAGCAGCTGAGGAAGCAGCGAAAAGCTGGGTGGCTGTCAGCTTCCCACCTCCTAGGATGTGAGAAACAGGAAGAGAGAAGTTGAGTCCTGCCCCACGGGCTCCCTCCGGTTTGAAGAGCGTGCTGATGATTGCCACTGTGATATCTCAGGAGACTTGTTCCCACAATAGTCAGGGATCCGCCCTGTTAGTGTTGGGCTCCTCTTTCCAGCCTGTGTTGGCATTTTTATTTGATACACACTTGGTTAGCTCTGCTTTTTCACTGTGCTCATGTATGTGTGAGATGTGTTGGCACAGCCTGCCTGCTGCTGCCTGATGCCATAGGGACTGAGCAGGTCTTCCAACAGGCTTAGCTTGGCGTGTGATATTCCTGCTCTCTTGGGTCTACATTAAGGACTCAGCTTTAACAGGACTAAAGTAGTTGCCCTGCCTTGGCCCTGTACCTTTATTCTGAAAGCCAACTTTCCCCCTTTCTCTCAAGCGCTTGCCTTTCATCTTTGGCAAGTGTAAGGAACAGGCAGCATTTAAAGGGGTGTGTTCCTGGTAGGTCCACCTTTGTTTGTCAGGGTCCTGTCATCCCTTGTCACTGATGTCTACTCTGGTGACTTAGGTAGGGCTCCTCTTGTTTGTCGGGAACTGTGGTTCCAGTTAGAGGCACGGATCTCTTGGTTTCTGGCTCCTCAGCTGGCTTGATTTTGAAGGCTACTTCTCTGTTTATTTCAAATCTGCGTGGTTTGCTTTGCGCTCTGCTGATCTAGTGAGCAGGAGGATTCTAGGAAGGCTGTTCATCCAGTCCCCAACTCCTCCTGTTGAAGGCGTCAGTCCGACCTGGCAGTCATTGTGAAATTCGAGCTAGGCATGTGCACCACCAGCCGTGGTTCCCCTTTGCGTGACAGCTGTATTTTCACATGTGAGTTTTTGTTGCTGCCCCCTTTGGCATTGTTTACACTAAGTTGAAATTAGAGCTGCCCAGTGGAGTACAGCATTCTTACTGTCTTCAAACAAAGCTGTACCCTTTGATCAATAAAAGTATTTAAGGCATTTCATGAATTGACAAAGCCAGAACAAAAAGAAAGAAAAATGCTGGAGGTGTTCTCGTTGCCAACAAGGAGCACAGGACAGCCAAGCTACTGTCTCCTAAGGAAAGCACACTTAGAACCCAAAGAAACACTGCCGCGGTCCCCCGACTTGTCCCTTCTCAGCCGTGGAAGTTGGTGCTGTGTGAGCTGTGAGCAGTCTGCCTGCTGTTACCATAACTGTGAGGATTCTGCAACCGAAACGACACACCTAGAACTGACCCTGTGGCGGGGAGGGGAGGGGGTGGGAGGCGGGGGGGGGCACAGAATCACACCCAAACTCCAGCGTGGAACCACAGCTGTCTGTAGTCTGCCGCCAAGGAACCAGCACACACAGCGCAGTGCTTAATCTCCAGGAATATACATTTGCCGATGTTTTATCTCTAATGTAACTTAAATCCCCAAATGCTTGTTTTTGTCTAGCCTGCCTAAAATATCATTCTATCATGGGTATCCCCACTTTCCTTCCTGGTTTGGTCACCCAAATTCCCAGTCGTAAACTGTACCTAGACTAGTGACTCTAAATGACGTGTGGGAGTAGTGTTTCCATGTGGTCTGTTGTGTAGAGTGGATGCTACATGCTCATTTACTGTACAAAGAGAAGTGTGGTTGACTGACTCACAGACGCATTTCTGTACAGCGCCCTGCCTGTCTAAACACCACGTCCTTGCCCAGAACACTGTGAAACACTTACCAAACGGCAAATGCAGCGTCTGGACTCTTCCCGAGAAGAACAACTTTCTCCACATGAACACATGAACAAAAGAGATTCTCCATCCGCACCCAGCCAAGGCACCTCAGAGGTCACGGTGACAGCCTCCTGGCTAGCCAACGCCTGCTGGAACAGGAGCACAGGTCCAAGCAACTGATCCTCAGGGGACGGGTCGGCAGCCAAAGCCTTAATGGGCTCTCTTTTGGAAGGGGAAAGAAAAGAATTTCAAGTTAACAATATCCAACACTATTATAGTTGATGAGTTAGTAAATTCCAAAAAGATGATTTTATATGTCTGACATTAAAAAAAATATCTTTGTAAAGTGCGTAAGTGCAATAATTTAAAGAAGTCTTATCTTTCCATTTATAAATTATAAATATTGTACATGTGTGTAATTTTTCATGTATTCATTTGCAGCCTTTGTATTTAAAAACCTTTACTGTTACGTTTGTATAATAGGACAGTAATCATTTATTATAACTCAGACAAGGTGTAAATAAATTCATAAAACAGCCAGTATATATGCATATATGGGTGTTACATTGCAAAATCTGTATCTTTGCTCTACTCACATGCTTAAAGCAGTAAGGAATCTTTTGTGGATATGTAATTATACATATAAAGTATATATATATGTATGATACATGAAATATATTTAGAAATGTTCATAATTTTAATGGATATTCTTTGGTGTGAATAATTGAATACAAAGTTTTTAAAATATCATCTCTCAAGTTTGCTCTCGTTTGTGGGGAAGACGACAGATGCTTTGAGTGGCTGCCCCCGATCTTCTTCCCACAGCCATTTGCTTGACTGGGAGACAACACAGACTGCCCCAAATACAGCCGGTCAAATGCTCTGTCTCTGTGGAGAGGGACCAGGGGATAGCCTCTCTGTATAAACATTAAGTGCACTGCTCCTTGATCTTGTCAGGGCCTTTGCTTGTTAGTGTTTTGGTGACTTGACACAAGCCAGAGTTATCTGGGAAGAGGAGCCTCAAATTAGAAAATGTCTTAAGAATTGACTTGTAGGCAAGTCTGTAGGAGGTTTTCTTGATTAATGACCTATGTGAGAAGGTCCAGCCCATTATGGGTGGTACCATCCCTGTGTAGGTGGTCCTGAGTGTATATTAAATCAAGCCTAGCAAGCCGTGGGAAGGAAGCAAGCCAGTAAGCAGTACTCCTCCGTGGCCTCTGCATTGCCTCCTACATCTAGGTTCCTGCCCAGCTTGAGTTCTGACTTCCTTGGGGGACGGAGTGGGACCTGAAAGTTGTAAACCATAAGCAGTGCCTTCCTCCCCAACTTAGTTTTGGCGGCAGTGTTGATGACAGCCACAGAAACCCAAGACGAGGCAGATGGCCATGTCTCCTACTCCCGCCCACCCTCTTGTCTTGTCTGGCAGGGGCTGGCTTTCCTCTGGGGTTCCACACACGCACGTGCACACATCCCACACCCCGACTCTGCCGCTAGCTAGGCTAGGGGCGTGTGGTTGGTGACTGTTGCTAGGGGTGTGTGGTTGGTGACTGTTGCTAGGGGTGTGTGGTTGGTGACTGTTGCTAGGGGTGTGTGGTTGGTGACTGTTGCTAGGGGTGTGTGGTTGGTGACTGTTGCTAGGGGTGTGTGATTGGTGACTGTTGCTAGGGGTGTGTGGTTGGTGACTGTTGCTAGGGGTGTGTGGTTGGTGACTGTTGCTAGGGGTGTGTGGTTGGTGACTGTTGCTAGGGGTGTGTGGTTGGTGACTGTTGCTAGGGGTGTGTGGTTGGTGACTGTTGCGCCATGGTAGGACATTTGTCTTTGAGGTAAGTTGTTCCCTTGCACACCAGATCTTGACAACTGAGAAGCACCTTGCAGCTGCTTTGCCACAGTGCTGGCTCTGGGTCAGGATTCACTGTTGAGGTCATAGGTCAAGGTCACAGTGGGGCTGGGGTCGAGCAGCAACACCTCTGCTCTCCTGGCTTTCCACAGTGCAGGCGTAGATATTGCTGCTAAGGAAGCTCCTCCCTGGGACAGCCCAGGTGTGTCTGGTCCTCCCATCCCTCAGCTTTCAGAGGGCCCCCAGCATCACACAGGGGAAGAACATAGAACAACACGAGTAAACCAGGGATTTGCTTCCAGAAAAATCCAGTTTTGTTTTGACAGGTTGCACAGATAATAACTGAATATACTTCTTCAATCACTTTGATGGACTATTTTAAACAGTAGGAGAGAGTTGGGGTTTTCTGTCTTCTTAAGGCCTGACAGGTATCCAACCCTTGGTGTTCTGATTTTGTCACCTAAGGGGTAGCATGGCTGTTATGACTTGGAAGAATTCTTTCTGGCTGGAGAAAAAAAAAAAGAGGCAATAGAGTTTGGTGGAGGTGTGTAAATCGGAGTTCTTTCCTCCCTGGACAGCCTTGAGTAAGTTAACAGAAGTCTAGAATCTCCATTGGTGGTGGTATCACATATACAGTAACACCACAGCCTAGGGTTGCCTTAGTGTCCACTGCTCTCTGGGCTAAACCAAGGACCTCAGCAGGAGCAGATTCATTTGGGACACCACAGGGAAGAGTCACCTTTTATCCCTAGGCTCCATAATAAGTCTGCTTAGTTGCTGTCAAATCCAAAGGAATGTTTTGTTTTGAAAAGTTAAGCCAGTGAGCATCCTTCCTGTGCTCCCTGGCAATACTGGCAGGCCTGGCAGAGGAGCCATGGGAAATACTGGTTCTCCTGCCACCCTGTGGCCAGGCCCCACAGCTATGTTGTGGAGGAGGGGCTAAGAATGTTGATTGTTCCCATGGCAACTGCAGCCTTGACTCCCAACTGGTGGCTAGAGGGGCGATGGCTAAGGATCTGGAACCTGACTGTAAGTTATCTGTCTCCATTTTTGTGTGTTTACTTGGCTTAGGTGATGTTTGATTGCCTGGGAAAGCCTGTTTCTCAGAAGTGGGTTTGAAAGTTAGGGACCCTTCTGATGGCCGAAGATCAGCTTCTGGATCAGAATGCTTTGCTTGGATCCAGAGGCACATTGCCCCTTCAGAAGCTTGAAGAAGCTGGTCGTTTCTCTCCACAACCAGGAGCAAAGGACACGTGACTTCATTCAGTCTAGAGTCCAGCCCAGGAAACAGGGTGGGTCTCTCCACCTCAATTAACCCATTTAAGAAAACCCCTCAGGGCACAGCCAGGGGGAACCTCATCTAGACAATTTCTCTTGAGGGTTCCTGCAGGGAGTCTAGGCTGTGTCAAGGTTAAAATCAAAAGTAACCATCCCACTGTGTTTGTGTTGTGTTGTGGGATGCATGTGAAGGTGTACATGTTATGTTGTGGGATGTATGTGAAGGTGTACATGTGTGTGTGTTAGTATGTACAGTGCCCCGGAGGGAAACGGATGGAGGGACTCACTAGTTCAGTGTTTGCTTTCTATAAAGTTGAGCTCAGAGCAACTTTCTGTACTACACTGCTGTCTTGGAACACAGAAGATCACAGAGAAACAGGCAGTCATATGTGGAGAACAATTCACATGAAATAAACCTAACAACCTAACAGTTTCGCTCTACATGATGACACCAATATCCAGAGGCAGAGTTCACTCGTGGACAGTTGGTAGAGGTGGTGGCATCAAGGGGTTACCAGTCTGAAGGCCCAGTGCCCAGCAGACCCCCACGTCCACACCCACTGGTGGGAAGGACGGTGAGTGGCTGCTAGCTCCACTACAAGTGTTCCTTGAAGGCAGCCACAGGTGTGCTTAGTCAGGTCAGCGTGGCGTGGGACGTTCACTACCTAGAGAGCCGGGCTATTGGCAAGAGACCTGGTGAGACGTGGTCACCCAAAGAACTGTTATGCCCGTGTCACTGAATCCCAAATGAATCCATGGAGCCAGTACCAAAGCAAAGTGCATGAGGGTCTTTGTTTAACAAACTCACGTCTGGACCACACTCTCCCAGGACACCAACACAGTGGGTGAGGAGAGAGTGAGACCCCGTGCCCAGGGAAAGGAGAGCTTTTTAAGGAGAACTGCCACAATCGGGGTGGATGGACACATGTTTTGGGGGCTTGGGATTGGTTGAAGGGGGCACAGAGTAAGATGATCTCTGCAACCATTGGTCAAACTTTGGGTGCAGACTGTTAACAAAGGACCACAAATTGCTGTCAGGAGGTCTGCAAAGACGAGAATGTCTGCAGAAAACATCTGGACCTCCATAAGTTCTATGACCCTGCTCCTTAATTGGCTATTTCTAGGGTATCACTTAAATTCTGCTATCACAGCACGTTCCTGGAACTGAGGTCGGTCTCCGGTCACTAGACAGCTTAAGATGAAACCCCTTTTATAAAATGGAGTCTGCAAAGTCAGGGCCTCACAGGATCTCTTGTTGCTAGAGTATATGAATGGTTCTTATGTGCTGAGGTACATTGGAGACCAGTGTCTGCTGAACCTTTTGGAGCCTGGGTGTGTATGAACCTGCTGAGGCTTTTTTTGTCTTTGCAGACCTTTGGGGCCTCTGCTCCTGATTGGTGTGGGTCACCTGATCCCAGCATGTTGCTG